ATGAATAATAAATGGTGCTGGGAAAACTGGATATCCATATGCAGAAGCATGAAACTAGACCCCTGACTCTCACCATAACAAAAATCAATTCAAAATGGATTAAAGACCGAAAAGTAAGATCCAAAACGATAAAACTACTAGAAGAAAACATAAGAGAAACACTCCAGGACATTGGTCTAGCTATGATATTATGGCTAAGACTTCCACAGCACAGACAACTAAAACAAAAATAGTTGAGTGGGACTATATTAAACTAAAAATCTTCTGCATAGCAAAGGAAACAATCAGCAGAGTGAAGAGACAACCTGTTGAATAGAAGAAAATATTTTCAAATTATTCATCCAAAAAGGAACTAATATTCAGAATATATAAGGAACTCGACTCAACATCAAAAAATCAAATAACCCCATTAAAAAGTGGGCAAAAGATCTGAATAGACATTTCCAAAAAAAGACATATAAATGGCAAACAGGTATATGAAAAAATCATCAGCATCATTAATGATCAGGCAAATGCAAATCAAAACCACAATGAGATATAAGTGTACCCCAGTTAGAATGACCATTATCAAAAAGACAAAAAAAAATGCTGCTAAGGATGCAGAGAAAAGGGAATTTTTGTACACTGTTGATGGGAATGTCTATTAGTACAGCCATTACGGAAAACAGTATGGAGATTTCTCAAAAAACTAAAAATAGAAATACCATACAATCTAGCAATCCCACTGCTAGGTATTCATCCAAAGGAAAGGAAATCAGTATATCCAAGGGATACCTGTACCTCCATGTTTACTGCAGAACATTTCACAATAGCAAAGATATGGAATCAACCTAAGTGTCCATCAGTGGATGAATCGATAAAGAAAAGCAGTATATATACATAATGAAATACTAGTCAGACATTATAAAAATGTAATACTATCATTTGCAGCAACATGAATGGAACTAGAGGTCATTGTGTTAAGTGAAATAAGCCAGGCATAGAAAGATAAATATCACACGTTCTCCCTCACACATGTAAGCTAAAAAAGTTGATCTTATGTAGATAGAGAGTAGAATGATGGTTACTAGAGGCTGTGAAGGGGGGCGATGAAGAGAGGTTGGTTAATGTGTACAAACATACAGTTAGATAAAAGGAATAAGTTCCATTCTTCAATAGCACAGCAGGTAACAACAGTTAACAATATACAGTATATTTCAAAATGGCTAGAATATTTGACATTTTCCCAGCACAAAGAAATGATAAATGTCTTAAGTGATGGATATCCTATATACCCTGACTTGATCATTACATATTCTATGCATATATCCATCTATCACATTTACCCCATAAATACACATAAATATTATATATCAATAAAAATATTATATTTTCTTCTTTTAGTCAGTGCTGCTGTCGACAAATCAGATTTATTTATTCAATTATTATTTGTTGAGGAGCCACAAAATGCCAGGCACTGTTTTTTGACACTGGGAATTCACTTTTTTTAATTATGATTTTTTTGTTTTTTAGGTGATCTGTATTATGTCTCTGGAAGGTTTTAGAATTTCTTCTTTGTTATTTATGTTGTTAGATTTCACTACAATACCTGCCTTTTCATGATTTTGTTTGACTCTCTGAGTGCTTTCAATATAAGGTCTTTAACTTTTATTTCTCCATAAGTCTCATTTATTATCTCTTGATATATTTCCAACTCTCTATTTTTCCTTCCCTTTAGGACTCTCATTATGTAAATTCAGTCAGTCTCCATATTTCTTAACATTTCTTTCCTATTTTTCAACTTTTTATCCCTTCCTGGTATCTTATGGAAGAGTAGAGTTCCTTGACCTGATATTCTAGCTATGGAATTCACTCTTAAATTTTATACAGTCTACTATTCAATCCCTCTATTGAATACTGTCTTTTAACCATCATATTTTTCACATTCAGCTTTTGTTGTGTTTTGTTTTTATGACAAGTTTTTACTTGATATTTCCTGTATCCTCCTTTATCACTTTTAGTATAGCTTTTAAATATATATATATACATATATAAATTCTAAATGGTCTATTAATGCTGGGTCATCTATTATAGATTATTCAGTTTATTGTTTTTCTTTTATAGAAATAGAATTCTTAGTTTTTCCCGGTGAGCTCATATTCCCTAGGCCCAGGTATAAGCTGGTAATGTAGGGAGGGAAGAGAATCTCCCCCCTGGGGTGCTTCCCATACCTCCTTAAACTCACCAGGAAGGGTACAAGCTGTAGATGAATTATATGTATGTGTGTGGTGGGGGGTGGGGGGGTTGGGGGAGTTATTTTCAATGCAGAGAATCTAGGGGATTAAAATTTGGGCATGACCACTTTCCCTTTGCCATCCTCTTCTGATCAGGTGTCCTTGTCCCTTAGAAAACCTCGCTACCTCCACCTCTTTATATAGTAATCATCTGGCTCACTGTGTGTGAATGTGTGCACGTGTATCAGAGGCGATAAGAGGGTAAATAAACATTTGAGGTGGATCTGCTTGTGTCTGTTGGTATCCACTCCTTTTCCAGCCCAGCTCCAAGGCTGTCCTGTGCAATGGTGAAAGAGTGGGCAAAGACTTACCCAAGGCAATGTGGGAAGTGGATAGAAAGGAGCACCAAAAAACCCTAAAATGCATCCCCACTGCCTATAGAACCTCCCCACAAACCCCCTGTGGCATCTAGGAATCTTTCACTGCAGCAGCTACCATTACCTTCCCATCTACACACACACACACACACACACACACACACACACACACACACACTCACACACACACACACTCTAGGACCTACTGTAGCCATCTGTCTTCTAGAGGGTTTCAAATCAACTTTTCAATAGTTTCTTAATCCAACAACCTCTCCCACTTCCAGAGAATCTCCAGACTGGTTTTGGGAAAAGAGATAGCCTTTTATGTTAGAATACTGTTATTAGGTATCTTTTTCTACATAACAATATTACCACATACTTAGTGGCTCACAACAACATACATTTATTATCTAATGGTTTCTGTGGGTGAGGGTCTGGGCACAACTTAACTGGGTCCTCTGCAGCCTGCTATCAAGGTGTCAAGCAGGAGTGGATCCTCATGGGAAGACTCTACAAGAATGGTTCATTTCCAAGCACACCAGGCTGTTGAAAGGGTTCAGGTCCTTGCAGACCGCGGGACTGAGGGCTTTAGGTTCTTGCTGGCTGTTGGCTGGAGGCCAGTGGTGATGTCAAAGCCAGCAAAAGAGAAGTCTCCTAGCAAGACAAACATTAGACTCTCATGTCACCTTTGTTCTACTGTACTGGTTTGCAAGTCACATTCCTACCTACCCTCAAGAGGAGAGGATTGCACAAGGGGGTGACTACCAGAAGGCTTGGATAATGGGAGTACCAAGTCTCTATTTGTGGGAGCTGGAAATCATCTTTCTCTGAAGCTTCTGAAAGCCATTGAAGGGTTTTAAGTAGCAAAGTAACACGATGTTTTGCTTTATAATGATCACTACCCAGAAAGTGTGGATAACAAGACTGGTGGGAGAGAAAACTTGAGTTAGGAATCCAGTTAAGAAGCTGTGACTATAATCCTAGGGAAATGGTGGTGGCCTGAAGGGGGAATAGAGAGAGATGAAAAAATTGGAGAGGTAAGAAATATAATAAATAGGACCTGGTGATAAATAGATGGTGAGAAAAAGAGTTGAGAATACTCTGGTTGCGGCTTGTGCAAATGGCGTGACTGGGCAGTAATGTCATGACCGAGAGACATGCGGAGTTTTAGGTGAGTGGGTTAGTCTTCTAACAGAATTGAAGAGACCTAACCACTTTCCCTTGAGAGTACAACCTTCTTTTATAAATTTAAACTAAATTTTATGCCTGCAAAGAAGTTGCTCAAATTTGTTGAAACTGGTTCAATCTTTCCAATTCATTTCAAATACACGGATTTTTAGGATTACAAGTAGTCTATGAAACAAACACAGGAACTTCGTGTCGAGTGTACAAAGAGGAACCTGCTCTTTCTAAAAATATCTTTCATATTTTTTGAAGCCAAAAGATGAGTTTGGGGAGAACAAAACTATGGATAAAAGCTATGTACTCTAAAACATCGTGTATCAGAGTGATTTGAGCACCGTGCCGAAGGCACCTGCGTAGACAAAGCGCACGCACGGGCACCGACTCCGCTTCATATCTCCGGTGTTGCCGCCCCGGGGCCGCCCTCCCTTCTCCCGGGGGTCAAACACAAGGGATGCACCTCGAACTCTCGCGAGAGGGAAGGCGCTCGCTAGTCCCCCGGTTCTCCCAACCGCGCCACGCGCTCCCACCTGCTGAGAAACGGAATCTGCAGACGCCCAGGGGCTTCTGGGAATCGTAGTTCCGGGTGGGATGAGGCCGGCCAGCCTGGGCCCCGCTCCTTCTTACGCATGCGCGACTTCGAGCCGGCCCCAGAAGTTCGTAGCCTTTGTCAGGCCAGGGTGGGAGGTGAGTTGGTTGTTCGGATGCCGCTCGTCTCGGGTCGGCCTCCGTGGTGGCCCTCAGGAGCCGTTCTGTGCCGAGTCGGGGCTGCAGTGCGCGTTCATGGAAGCGACCTCGAGTGCGGACCATGAGCCCCATCCCTTCACTCTCTGGCCCGAATCCCTCCCGCGGGGACACGAGTGGGAGCGCGGTGCCGGCGGGCGCGCGGCGGGCGGGGCGGGGCGGAGCTGGCGGCGCGGGGCAATCTCGGGGCTTGGGCCAGTACCCCGAGCGTGGCGGGGGTTGTCTGCGCTCCGTGTGCCTCGGCCGCAGCCGCAACGCCATGTCTTCCAGGAGCTCGGTCCCCCGGGGCCAGCTCCAAGCGGCAGGGACAGGCGTCTGAGGACCCAGCCTCAGGGATGCTGTCCCCGGGTTTCCAGGCTCCGGCTCCGGCTCGGTAGGACCGAGGCAGGCTCTGTAGTGAGCAAGAAACTCGACCTGACCTGACCGGGACCTTCTGCGGAGCTCCCAGAGGACTTCTTACTAGTCTGCGCAGAGAGGTCTGAATTGGGGTGAAGAGCAGGATCTTCAGAACAAGGAGGAGGTAGTGATCATGGAGACAGATTTGGCCAAAATGCCGGAGAAAAGAGGTGAGAATTGCTGAAGTGTTGAACTTGTGTCTTGGAAGGGCAAAATTCGTACCCGTGAAGGGAAGACGTTTGCCTTAGGGGAGGCTGCTCTTGGTGTAGAGGGCTGTCTGTCTCCATTGTCTTAAGGACAGATGGGCTTTTTGAGTGAGACTGGAAGACTTAGTATGGGACCACCCCCTTTTCCACTGCAGCTGGGCGCACAGTGGACCCTTCAAAGCCACCCCAAAATTGTGAGTGAAATGTTGGCTTCTAAGGCATGAGTGTAGCCTCAGCTACTTCATTTTCTCACACGCTCTTACTCCCAAATGATTATCCTCTCCATAAGTGGGAAGAGAATTCAGCTTTTTGGTTGGCAAAAATATTTTGTTTTACATATAAGAAAACAGGTATAGTAGTTGGTGATTGACTGCCAGTTCTAGACCCGTGTTTCTTGAAGTTTAATCTGTGACTACCTACATCAGAATTCCCCCTGGGATGCTTGTTAGATTCGTAGATGGCACCCTAGACTCAACTAATGATAATTACTTTGACGTGGGGTCCAGAAATCTACATTACAAATAGGTTTGCAGGTTGATTTTTGAGAACCATTGAGCCTATTTCTCTGATACTAATTTAGTATAGATTAAGCTGGGAAATTAACTGATATATTCTAATTTCTAGATCAAAGAGTTCCATCTTCCAGAATGTGTTATAACAACTGAATTTGAGCCCCAAGTAGCAACATTCCTGTATATTTTCCATGATCCTTGGAGGTGGTCTGTTGTTTTGGGCTCCCTTCAGTCTCAGTGTTTGTAGGGAGCATATATAGTATGGTAGAAGATTTTTAGACTTGTCCATCTGAGTAGCAAGATAGGTCCTGGCCCCATCTCTAATGCTTTCTTACCTACCCTTAGCTCTGTCTTCCCAAGATTCTCCCCTTTCCTGGGAAAAGAGCACAGAAGAGGGAGAAGTAGCAGCTCTGCGCCTCACAGCCAGATCCCAGGTGAGTGTGAGTCTCCACTGATTACTGGGATTCTACTTTGTTTCTCAGAGTACAGATGCACTCCCTTCTTTTTGATTTGGAGTTTTTTTGTCCACTAGATCCCATCTGAGTTATAATTCTAAGAGACTACTTGAGGGACTAATAGACTCAGTAGAAAATATTTTCTACTTACCCATACTAAATGAATTTCTTCTCCATCTGTATTTATTGTCCCTAAACATACAGGTATGCAGCATTTCCCTTTTTTAGCCTACTATGCTAATTTCTGTTCTTGGTAATGTGGGAAACTATTTTAAAGATAATGCGGCGCATACCTCTTAAAACTTGTTTCTCTAGAGCAAGCTGCAAACATGTGACTTTAAGAAGGAATTTAAGAAAGCACCTTGAAGGAAGTAATTATAAAAATAATAAGCACTCAAATGGTTCAAAGGAATGCTGGAAAAGGAAAACCAATGCAGGCTTAATTTAAAGAGTTTTGGCTAGAATCCAGCCTCCAAGAAGAAGAATGTTAAAGTATTATCTTGTCTGCAGGTTACTCTTATGTTGTTGCCCCTCCCTCCCAAAGGACAAATATGGCAAATATTAAGAATTGTTGAATTTAGGTGGTGGTTGTACTATATGAGAGATTATTGTATTCATCTTTCAACTTCTGGATATTTGAAAATTTTTATTAAAAGAAGCTGAGTAGAAAAAAAGGAGCTGTCCATGGTGGGTGTGGCATACCACAACTCAAAGATTCCTCAGTCTTTCTCTTTGCTACTATAATCCAAGGTGTAAAAAGTAGATATTGCAAATTGGTAATGTTTGTAAAAGTGCCTTCTCAGGGCCCTTCATATACTTGCCTGTTTCCATTGGTTTCTCAACTGCTTTACATTAATCTTGAAGACATTTTTAGTCAAGAAGCTTTAAGTTGCAGCTGATAAAAACTCAGACTGGCTTAAGCAATAAGAAGTATTTATTGACTAACATAACGGAAAAATTCAAGTCTAGATACAGGGTTCAAGCAGTTATATTAAAACCTGTTCTCTTCATTTCACAGACCTTTTCTCTCCATGGGTTTTGCTCTCAAGCAGGTTTTTCTTCTAGTGCTATCCTGGAACAAGTTTAGGCTTACATTTCCCCATGTATAAGCGCTAGAGAAAAATGGCAGCTTCTCCCCTAGAAATTCCTGCAGAAGTGCTGGAATCAACTCTAATGGGGTGTTAGGCCCATTCCTGGACCAGTTATTGACCAGATCTAAGTGCAGTTCTCTGTGGAATATATCGACATGCACACACATAAAAACACACATCCCGCTCGTGAGTCAGAGATAGAGTCAATACTACCTGAACTACAACAGACTAAAAGTGGCCAGGCATAGTGGCTAGAGGAAAATCAGGGTACAGTTACCAGAAGGGTGAATACTTCATATATTTCAATATTTTGTTACTAGATTCAAGATTGTTACAGCATCAGGGTGGATCGAACCTTTTATGGAAATTTTCAGAAATTCTTTGTTATTTTTTCATTTCATTAGATTTTGCTTAATGCTAGTATTGCAACTTTTTTTCTTATTAGAATTTGCCTGGGCTATTTTTTATCTTTTACTCATTAGATTTTTTAAAATACTAAAGTTTTAATTCTTGCTCATTGTGACAAGATGAACAAAACAGACATACAGAAATATGATATAAAGATAATACTACTTCCCTCCCCAAATTCAGTCCCTTACCTCTCCCTACTGAGGGTAACAATTTGATGTATATTTTTTCATATTTTCTGTTGAGTTCAAACTGCTGTATTTGGACATGTGGTATGCTATAACTCCTTCCATTTACTCTCCAGTCCCCAACTTAATGATAGTATTTTTTCATTAGCCTCTTCTTTAAACAAGATGTGGCTTTCTTAAAAACCTTTTTATAAGGGAAAAATATATTCATTCACATGTAATATGTATGTTTCAGATTTTTCTTGCTGTCTGTTTCTTATACTTTGTTTTGTTTTTTGTACTTTTCCTGCCATTTGTGCAATAGTTTGCATTTTCTGATATTTTTCTTTCTAATTGGCAGTTAATTCCCATTGAGTGTTGATTTAGCTATGAATATGCAGATTCTAGGATCAAGGCCATTTTTCCTTTTCCACTTAGAGGCTACATAGAGATTTTTACATTTAGTTTTATTTTCAAAGGATAATCCTTTTATTTTTTTTTTATTTATGTATTTTTTTTGAGACAGAGTCTCACTCTGTTGCCCAGGTTAGAGTGGCCGTGGCATCAGCCTATCTGATAGCAACCTAAAACTCCCGGGCTCAAGCAATCCTCCGGCCTCAGCCTCCGGAGTAGCTGGGACTATAGGTGCACACCACCACACCTGGCTATTAGTTGCCTGGCTAATTTTTTCTATTTTTAGTAGAGATGGGGTCTTGCTCTTGCGCAGGCTGGTCTCGAACACCTGACCTCAAGCTATCCTTCCCCCTCGGGCTCCCAGAGTGCTAGGATTACAGGTGTGAGCCACCACGC